TGAACTTTTGGATTCCTTGCGTCCCAAAGAATAGGCCTGAAGAATAGGCCTACTTCTTATGTTATCTAACAAATCAATAATCATATAGCTAGTCCACTCCATCATTCTGAGGATTTCCAATGTGGCGCACCTAGTTGATGTAAACAAACCAGCTGTAAGTCAAATGAGTGTTTGTGTATATAATTGTATGTTGTATTTTCATATATATTAATGATAATTTTAAATATATATTTATATTATGATAACTTTTGTTGAAACTAATTGAAATGTATTTTATATATAGAAATGCTCTTCTGCATAATAACAATAATGTAGTTCGTCAACAACTACAATCCCCCATGTCTATATAAGTACAGGTCTCGTTCGGAGTTCTGCGCAGCTTTAGGTGATAAGGCCTATGACATCACTAGGCGTAACTGATGGGAAGGAGATAATACACAACGGTAGCAAATGGGAAATATTTAAGTAATTTTAGATGCCGACAATTTGAACGATGTGCATATTGGACAGATACTATAGGCGATGATTATCAGTGATTGTTTGTGGGTTTATATTGCATAGTTTATGTGAATTCAGTTTTTTTAATTCTCTTGCTGCAATTAGATATTGTATAATAAATAAAATAAACAGAAAAGACATGGCCTTTTTTCACCATTGTTTCGCCCATCTTGCCGAAATTGAGTTCAATGCATTTTCAAGGAGTTCCTTTTAGTCCCCTGAAAATTTCATGGCCCGACCGCGGTTTTTTAGGTGACAGCGGCCCTTTTCGATGTCGACCGAAATGTTATTTTTTTACACATTACCTTAGAAAATCGGCAATTGTGACGTAATGATTAGAGATAATAAAAAAAAGAGATAATCTGCTGAAAGCTTATGCAATATCACGTAAGATGAGATCAGTCTTCATTTATATAAATATAAATATATATATATATATATATATATATATATATATATATATATATATATTATATATATAATCTGGCAAGCGTCAAAAAAACAACAAAGAATTTTTTCATATAAATAAATAAACATGATCAGTTACTTATATAGAGTATTTTATTTCCTTTATGTTTTCATCATACGTAGTTTGATCTATGAGCAAAACATTTCGAAAATGCAAACCTCCCCCCCTCCCATATGAGGGGTAGGATTGCCAAATGATCCGGATCACCACCAACATTTTATGGAATATTAGATAAGCTAAGATACACCTCAGGTAAAAATGAATAAATAAAATACATAAATAAATAAAGTAAAAATAAAATCTTCATAACTATTTGAGTTGGGAAAAAATTCCAAAAAGTGGAATGGTTAAAACACACCTCTCGTTAAAATCTCATTACATGTGTTCATAACTTTTAGAAATATCAGAAAACACAGACACACTAAAAAATAACAAACAATCAACAAAGAAACAAACGGAAGTAACAATATAAGTAAACAAAAGGTCATGGAATACACGAAAAGTATCTATCTTTACATATCTTATTTACATATTTTTACATTTTTACACCGCCCTGTACTTGTATTTCGTCTTTTCACGGGTCTGAGTGTGAAAATTGGCTACATGGCCCCATACGTGTTGAGAACGGGACGCGCATGATACCCGTCCAATTGGAGAACGATAATTTTTTTCGACCAGTATTATATGTATTAAACCCCATTAGAGCAGTAATGATAAGTAAATAATAAATAATCATATCATGTACAAGTAATTCGCAAATGCTTTGTTATGTATAATGTAAAAGAAATGAAAAGGAAAAAAATCGAGATGTTTAGGTCTTTCACGTTTTTACGTGTGGCGCACGTATTTTCAGTCCGATTTTAACGACATCTAAAAATAGGCTTCCGCATATTATAGTAGAAAGACACCCCACATCAGTGTGACTCTACTATAACAAATGTCGCATAGTGAGGTACTATTACTATGACGTTCGCAATACTTCAGAATGAAGGTAAATGAAAGGGGATGATGTTATGTGAAGATTATTCTTATACCTAAGTTTGTTAATACCAAAACAACTATGAAATTGTACGGAACCACAAATATGCCGTAATTTCGAAACAATACCTCTGTAGTTTCGTCAACTCTCCCAGACGCAATTTTAGTCCGAAAAATCGTTTTATGGCTCATTTTATAGAAGAATAAAAAATCACATCCTTGTTGCATTTAGTTTTATGTTTTTCTTGCGCTTCTTGTAAAAATTATATTAATGTAAAAAAAAAAAAATCTCAAAGTCGGTTACTTCAGAAATTCACACACACACACACACACACACACACACACACACACACACACACACACACACACACACACACACACAATGTGGTTGTAATAAGCACAATATTTGCGGAGTCTGTTCAAAAATCACATCAGAAAGCCTGTGTATGCTTTCCTGGGACAGATATGATTGACGAAAATTTGTCAATTTTGAAAGGGTACTTTTTTGACTAATTTAAAAACTGTTGGGGCGTTTAAAAGTAACATTTATGAACAAACAAATGGTAACGTATGTAATTAAGAGAGCTAAGTCCTGGCCACCCGTGACGAATACAAGAAAATATGGATGACGCACGGACAAAGATGACACAAAACTATTGTTGAAAGACAGAAGAGGTAAAGAAAAAAAATAATAAGTAAGGATTGAAGAAGAAAATCAATTGCTCATTTGAACGGTGACATGTCTCCAAGCAAAATAAGTCTATTATTGGAACCCAAATGTAGAGACAGGCAAACATAAGCCTGGTAACCAAAAGATTATGATACCCTTTTGTAGAACTACAGGCAATTGAGGAAGAAACGAAAGAGGTGAACACTAAAATAACTTTTAGTCACCTCATTCATCGCTGTGGTCACAAGAAAATTATTAAAAACTATTTACAGAAACGTTTAAGAAACCTGGAAAGAGAGCTATAACACTAGGAAACTAATACTAAACAATTTCTTGAAACGAGATTTTGATACCAAAATTGAAAGGGATAGTTTCGATCCTAGAGCAAAGCCAGATTTGTATTTCCTTTTAGAAGATGTAACAGATCACACCAGGATAACGGGGCTAGATAGACGATCTATGAGCATGTAGCAATTAGGGAAAAACATGATCTGTTACAGGAAAAACTCATCGCAACTAATATAAGGTAAAGAAAGTACACCTAGAAGAGATACGTATAGAAGTCCTAGAGTGTTCTTTGATTATATAAACTGGGAAACAATCCTGGATTAAGACAAGATGGAGGTATATTATTATTTTCTTTTTAACCTATAGGAAAGTAAACAAATTTGTATCGATTGCAACTGAGGCAAGAAATGGTTAAAAGCAGTACTTTGACATATGCAAGAAAATGAGAGAAAACGAGCAACTTCTTCAGATATAAAAATCAGGCAGCATATGTTGGAGGAAATGAGTAAACCCAAACCATAAGGGAAGCGAATATAGACTTTGTAAAGGACGTAATCAATAAATTTACAAATCATTCAAAGCTCTTCTTTAGCTACGTAACACTAAGATATAAGGTATAGGTCAAACTGTCGCTGTCGAAGACAATAATATTGTTTATGCAAAGGAGAAGGAAGTGGATGAAATTCTTAATGGGAAATTTCAAGCAGTGTTTGTTCAGGCCCCATACTTTGAAACAAACAAACCGTACAAATGTCAATCAGAATATCGAAAACATCACACAAAAAGGATGAAGTAAAATACCTATCAAAAGGGTTAGACAAGATTAAAGTGGAGGGACCAGTTGAGAGACCTAACTGCTTTGGGGGAATGTGTTGAACAGTTGTTTTTACTTCATGGTTAATATTCCAAAATTCAGTGAGACAAGCGAAATTACCAAAAAGCTTGGAAATTCACCAACTTTATATAAGAGTGGCGACAAGCGAAATCAATTCCGTTAACCAGTATAAGAAGTAAGCTTTAAGAGCTGATAATAAGGAAACAATGGGTTGAAATACTCGAAAAAAACATAATATAATATCTTAAAAGCAATTTGGTTTTAGGAAGGAAGGTCATGTGTGACAAATCTGTCTGTTTTTTATAGAATTTTCTGAAATATTACAAGAAAGGGCCGGCTGGATGCATTGCTTATACTTGGACTTTAAAAAAAACTTTTGTTAGGGCGTCACATAAAAGAAAATCAAACTCTTTGAGTGAATAACATATTTTTAAGATCTAGGACAAATAGGCACAGTAATTAGAGGGAACTACACTACTTGGAGATGAGTAATTAACGGGGTACCTGAAGTATCGGTCTTGGCGCCGATTGTGTTAGATATTTTCATCAATGATTTAGGGGTCAAACATAAACCCAGGTAGTTAACTGAATATATTTGTAATATATGCAATACAATTAGAATACGCAGCATTAAACACGCTTATAGGGAAAAACTTAAACATTAATAATCATACAAATGAAAAGGTACTATAATGCTAAGGCGAAACTCTGATAAAAGAGTAAGATGGAATTCACACTAAAAAAAAAAAAAAAAAAAAAGATATAGGCATAATGG